TTCCGGACTATAAGCCGCTATATTTTCCCACGCTTTGAACCATGCGGCTTATAATGAGGTGTGGCTTTAGTCAACTGGAAAGGATGGATGCTGGAAGAAGGAATGGTTAAAGGAGTGCTACGGAAAGTGCCCAGGACGATGTTTTTCACAGTAAAACGGCGCTGCTTGTTTTCCCAGCTTCACCCCGGAATGATGACAGCAACACAGAGGCCGACACGGACATCGCCACAGAAAAGTATGTGACGAAGCTCTTCTGAGGCTGTTCAACTCTGACACTGAAGAAGATGACTTCAGTGGTTTCAGTGTGCAGGAGGATGATTAATAAACTAATCAATAACTTTTCTGTTTCGTTTGATACTGATCAGTTCAGTTACGTTCAGTTAAACTACGTTTTCAATTCAGTAGATATCTGCGGCTTTTAGCCCAGTGCAGCTTATATTTAGGTGTGCTCTATAGTCCGGAAATTACGGTACTTGTGTTATATTTGACTAACGGTTAAATGTGTTTGATGATCAAAAACATTTTGTGTGACAAACATGCAAAAGAATAAGAAATCAGGAAGGGGGCAAATAGTTTTTCACACCACTGTATAATCAGGTGAGCAGTTTCTTATGTATTTTCTAAGAAACATAAAATCATTTTTGATTTCTCGTTTGTTGAACCGGCGCATCTGAAAATGTTGTTCATGCTTTTATTACAGTTCACAAATGTCCAGGATTTTAAAGGTGTGGAACAGTCATTTAATAAACACATTTGCAGTGGTTTCTAGCTTCAGTCGGCAGGTTTTGGAGTTTTATTTCCTGATATTTGGACATCTTGCCTCGGGTTGAATAACAACAGCAGGACTCTACCACTGACTTGCAACGCTGATGTTTTATCTCCACAAATTACACAAGCCTGGAGGAGTTCGGTCATGTGGTGGTGTGGCTAATGCTAACTGTAGCCCAGTGTTTTACCATATGGTGAATTCCTACACTCTTCTGTCATTTAATGCACAATGCCTAAGTCATCAATCAATCAATCAATCAAAGCTTTATTTATAAAGCATGTGAAGTTAATCACATGATCAAAGGCCTGCACTGGCTTCCTCCCTGCAGACATGTGGAGGAAAGCCAAGTGACAGAGCTGTTGCAGACACCGACAACTGTGTGCTGGAGCCTTGTAGGGTCATCATACACCATACAGAAGCTGGAATTGGCCAGGTGACCCGTTAAGGGTTTAAGGATGGCGAGCTAACGACTGGCCAGGGGCCAGAAGACTTCTCCTTCATCTTCCTACTGGTCTAGTAGGAAGTTGTCTCAGACAACGTTCTGTCCACCCCCAACTCCTTAATCAATTCTTGGATTCACACACCTCCCTTTTCAGTACTCTTTGACAAAGCACTTGGATAATTTTCATGGACAATCGGATCACATCCTGGACAATTAATTCGGTGTGAATCCATTGGGTCTTCAAGTCCTGCAAAGGAGTGTTGACTATTCAGGGGATCAGACCGAAGTCAGAGTGTTCCTCTAGAACTTTCAATAGAACTAGAAATTTCAAAGCGCACTTTAACTTATTTATCAGTGCTGAAGCAGTGGAACCTGTTAATTTGTGTTTGTTTATTTTATTTATAATATTCAATATATTGTCTTTACAAACTATTTCAATGTGTTGTGTATTCTTTTATTATTGACAACCATCTCCAGCAGTTGTTCCTGGGTTCTGATAAAGTCAGTATACAATAGCCATACTTCATTTAACTTAATTCATTAGCGCTTCCAAAGTGTTACATAACGATTAGCTTCTACTAGCCATGACATTCTCTGCTGTTTCCTGGATGCCAAACCAACAACAGCCTTCCCCGTCGTGAGTCAAGACGGGTGAGTCCATGAATGTTAAGTGACAGTGTGACGTAGATCTGTCAGGATTTTATAATCCAAGAGTTTTATCATCTATTTTTTATCAGAAGCTAATGCTGGAGATTATTTTCTAGTGCTGCCACGATTGGTCAATTCATCAGAACGACACTGACAAACAAAACAGTCAAATATAAATTTAATATTCAATGTTTATTCTATGAGCATTTTTTCCATTTTTTTTATTCCTGTTTTGTTTTTCTTTTTTTTCTTCATCATGGCAAGTCGGCAACGTAGCTCAGTGGTTTTGAAGTGTTTCATAAAGAAAAAAGAGAACCACGTTGAGTGCAAAATCTGCAAGGTGAAACTCCTTTCACGGGAGCACATCAATGATGCATGAGCACCTTAAATGGAAGCACGTCCTGGCGGAGATGAAGAGTCGCCTCTGTAAACAAATTACCTCTCGCTAGCTGCTAGCATCAACAGAGAGTTACTTGTATTCATAGCTGTAGCAACAACAGTGGTGATGGCGACTGCCTTTAGAACACGTATGTATGTCATGTATTTGCTCTAATGTTACAAACACTAATGATTTATTTTATCTCGCTATGTTACAGTGTTTAAAAAAGCTTTAAATGAACCTTTGTGATATATACTGGACAATTCATTTCCGTAGGCTCCGATAACACATTTTTGAGGGGAAATGGGAGGTGGCCACCACCGCCATTTTGACCGTGTCACAGATTCTGTCAAGCCCAGACATTTTCACAAAAGGGAATAGGAGTGGAGCTGAGGGTGGGGCTGTAAGGCTGGGATCAACAGACGACACCCGATCGAACTAGCTACAAGCTAACCTGAAGCTAACCCCAAGCTAACGCGGAGGTGGGAGCTAAGCTAATGGAGGTAGCAACCTAGCTACAACCGGAGTTAACTGTGCACAACACCAGAGCTTCTGACTCAGAGATATGCCGGGCTGACCGCTGGGTAAAACCGGGTGGAAAACAGAGGTCTCCGAGAACTCCACAAGCCGGCAGCCGCACAGCAGACAAGCGCCGCTGCGATCTGAGATGCGCAGGGCTGCCGCTGGGGAGAACCGGGTGGAAAGGTTTCCATCCCAGAGCTCCACAAGCCGGCAGCCCGCGCAGCAGACAGGAGCCGCGGCGATCAGAGATGCGCCGAGCTGCGGGGAGGGGAGAACCGGGTGGAAAACAGAGGTCTCCCGAGAGCTCCACAAGCCGATAGTCGGAACCCAGCTCCACCAACATGTTATATTTCAACCCATTTTCTAAAGTGCAGCATTATGTTAAATGCACTGGGTTTTACCCTATTACATTTAAATTTCATGGCTAAACTCTACATGTTAAGATCTAAGCTCAGCTCGGCAGTGACCTAAAATACATAAATATAATTTTACTTACCGAAAAAAATTAAGTGGAGACACCTTGGACGCTCTATTAGTGCAATTAATGCCACAGCAAGTCATTTTGTCCACAATTGCACAAAAAATATTCAAAAAAGAACACACAAACGCTACAACTAATGGTCTAAGTTGAGAGACTGAAAATGACGGAACAGTTTTCAGACTGAGGCCTTTCCACAGAGTGGACACGTGGGTCTGATGCTCATTAATTATACAGAATTTTAGGCTTTAATACACTTAAACAGAAGAGTGACAACCCCCCACCCCCACCCCACCCCCCACCCCCGAGTTGTCATGAGTGTAAACCAGATAATTTAAACCAAAAACATGTTTCGCTACCAGGCTGTAAACATGTTTATTTCTGCTGTGAAATTGGTAATTTTTAACATGGAAGTCAATGAGGATTTGCTCGCTTCTGACACCAGCCCCCAGCGGATGAGAGTGGAACTGCAATTTATTTCACTTCCGCATTGGCCTCAATTTCTGTCCCGCATTGTGGGGGCTTGAAATGAACACATTTGTTACAAAGCTAAAAATGACTAATGAAGCTGGACACATTTGTGAGCACGTAATTTTTGTGTACAATTTATTGTTACAGAGGTAATTAAAAGTTGTCTGATAAGCTATCATCTTGTGTTTATTATTAGATGGCACAATACCGATCACACTTCAGACTAGAAGCTAATGATGGGTTTATTAGAGCATCCTGCTGCAATAAGCTATACTTGTATGTATGAATCAGAATCAGAATCAGAAAAGGTTTATTGCCATTGTTACTGAACAAACGATTCACAAACTAGGAACTTGCTTCGGTACTAACGTGCTACATATGACATGAATAATATAATTAAAAAATAGAATAGAGTAGAATAAAGTAGAATAAAATATAATAAACTAGCATAAAACTTTGCTATAAAAAATGGCCGATAACGTGACGTTGTGTCGAGTACAGAAGACCAGCATGGTTGTGTGTTTATAAGCTGTTCACAAGTCTAACGGCAGATGGAAAGAAGCTGTTCTTATGGCGAGAGGTTCTGGTCCGGATGGACCGTAACCTCCTGCCCGAGGGAAGCGGCTCAAAAAGTCCTATTAATTGACTAATTGTCAACAAAACTGGTGATTAGTCGACTATTAAAATAGTTGTTTGTGGCAGCCCTTCTATTTTCATGTTCAGTCTGCATTAACTGTTTTTTTAATTATTTTTGCGGTATTTATTGTTTGATTTAAAAAATATTTCAAATTGTTCTATCCATCTTCTTAAATTAATGTGAGAGTTTTATTTATATTTAAAATAACTTCTTTATTTTGTTTATTGTTATAGTTTGTGCAAGAGGCTTATGTATTTTACTTTATTTTAGTGGAGTTTGGGTTAGGGTCACATTTGTATGCATGAGTTGTAATAGAAATATAACTTCCGTAAAATTGTGTTTCCACTTGTCTCAACATGTATGGAGAAAACAAAAAAGGGCAACAGTTTTCTGTTATTTTAGCTCCAAAAGCAGGACAAATATCCTGAATTTGTGTGTGTGTGTGTGTGTGTGTGTGTGTGTGTGTGTGTGTGTGTGTGTGTGTGTGTGTGTGTGTGTGTGTGTGTGTGTGTGTGTGTGTGTGTGTGTGTGTGTGTGTGTGTGTGTGTGTGTGTGTGTGTGTGTGTGTGTGTGTGTGGCACTGACAGGGGGAGGGCAGTGGGAGGAGAGGAGAGTTGTCGTGGGAGGGTGTAAGTCTGGTATATAAGTGTGTGCAGATTTCACACAAAGCAGACTCGTGAGTGTGTGCTCTCTGCTCCAGTGGAACTGTCGGCCTCTAACAAACACACTCGTTCCTCTTCAGACTTAGGTGAAGAGAAGACGAAGAATGGAATCCACCGAGAGTTTTTATGAGTACTACGACTCTGAGGAGACGGAGAACTCCACCATGTGTGACTACTCAGAGTGGATGCCATCGTACTATATCATCCCGGTGCTCTACATGCTCATATTCATCCTGGGCCTCTCTGGAAATGGGGTGGTCATCTTCACCGTGTGGAGGACTCAAGGCAAGCGACGAGCTGCTGACGTCTACATTGGTAACCTTGCCCTGGCCGACCTCACCTTCGTGGTCACCTTGCCTCTGTGGGCCGTCTACACAGCCATGGGCTACCACTGGCCTTTCGGAGTGGCCCTGTGTAAAATCAGCAGCTACGTGGTGCTTCTCAACATGTACGCCAGTGTCTTCTGCCTCACCTGCATGAGCTTTGACCGGTACCTGGCCATCGTCCACTCTCTGTCCAGCTCCCAGTTGCGAACCCGTGGCAACATTCAAGCCTCACTGACGACCATCTGGCTGCTCTCTGGTCTGCTAGCTGCTCCGACTCTCATTTTCCGCTCTACCAAATTTGACTCAGAAACCAACCGTACGTCCTGTGCCATGGACTTCAGCTTGGTGGTGTCGACCAAGCCAGAGGAGAACCTGTGGATCGCCGGTCTCAGCATCTCCTCCTCAGCTCTTGGGTTTCTGCTTCCCTTCTTGGCAATGATGGTCTGCTACTGCTTCATTGGCTGCACCATCAACCACCACTTCAACACCCTACGTAAAGAGGACCAGCGCAAAAGGAGGCTGCTGAAGATCATCACCACCCTCGTGGTGGTGTTTGCTGTCTGCTGGTTGCCTTTCCACATAGTAAAGAGTGCCGACGCCCTGTCCTACCTGGATCTGTTCCCCACCACCTGTGACTTCCTGCGCTTCCTGCTGTTGGCTCATCCCTACGCCACCTGCTTGGCCTACATCAACAGCTGCCTCAACCCCTTCCTCTATGCCTTCTTTGACCTGCGCTTCAGATCCCAGTGTCTGTACCTCCTCAATGTGAAGAAGATCCTGCACACCAGCCCCCCCAGCTCCCTGTCCTCGCAGAAGACGGAGGCTCAGTCTTTGGCTACGAAGGTGTGACTATGCAGCTGGGGGCCCAGAGGCACGCTGGGGAGGAGGTGGGTGAAAGACACAGAGCAGGATAGGTAGAATGAAACTTTGAAGAACTGGGATGCCTTCTTAGCAGATCAGTTTCAGGGGTCACCTCTGACACCGCCTACCCCTACTCCGTCAACAGCTCTGATCCTGATCTGAATAGGACTGATGGTTTTGAGGGGTTGAACCACTCCAAAACTCCTGCCTCATTCTGAGTGACACAGGGGTGAAACTAAACAAGACAACGTGCAGAAAACTGTGTTTTTATTTGTTTTTTGTGTAAAAAAACTGATCATTGAATGTCTCCTGGTCCTCCGGAGGACTTAATGACGAGCACTGAACACAGGGCTCCTCAGACCACCAAAATGGTGTGAGTTCCTTGTGTGTTTGCCTTTTCTGTTTTTGTTTTCATGAGCGAACTCTCAAGGTGTCATTTCTACCACAGACCTCACTGCTCTGCCGATCAGACCACAATATCTGCACCACAGCTGGCAGCATTACGTCCCTGTGTGTGCGTGTGTGTGTAGGAAGGGTTTACCAGTTGGCGGGAGGTGTTGGAGTAAGATAAGACTCTAAACTACAAGTGTGTGTGTGTAGGGGGGTGGGGGGATAAAGGTGGTGTCAGACAGGCAGACAGACAGATGGCAGCTGACAAATGTTTTCAGGATGTGAAAGGTCCAAATAAAAGTTTGCTATTTCAACTGTATATGTGTGAAGGATTGAGGTGTGTGTGTGTGTGTGTGTGTGTGTGTGTGTGTGTGTGTGTGTGCGCGCGCGCGCGCGCGCGTGTGTGTCTGAATTTATTCCTGACAAGAACATAAACTCATTTTGTAAATAGAAACATGTTATTTTGATTTCATGTAAATGACTTTTTTATTAAAAAGGTGCTTTGACCCAAAAATCCTCTCTGGTGTCACTCTGTTCCCTCCGACAGCTTGTTACGACTTACTGGAATGTATTTTCTCCTGTCCGGTGAATATGCTTCTTCCTGTTGGGGCATTGCTGAGAGGAGGCCGTCTCCCTCCTATTGTGCTTGGCAGGGCTGAAATCAAAGCACATGTCAGCAGGAAATGCACGTTGGACTTCTGTTTCCCTCCTTTCCAAACAATTCACTCCCACAAACAATCAGCAGGGACACAAGTTTCTAAAACGGATCACACTCGGGTTTTTTGGCTTTCTTCCAAAAATGTGAAAATCCTAAAGGGTTCATTATCACAATTAATACTCCAATGTTGTCATTCAGTTGATGTTTTAACCCCAAAACTTCATATGTGTTTAACATTTAGAAGTTTTTTTTAGCCCTAAAGTTAAATAATCCAACCAAATTTGACTGTAATAGGCTTTTTTACAGGATGTTATCAGTAACAGCAGGAGGACAGAGGGACAGGACTAATCCTTTGCTTGGTGATTTGTAGTGGGCGTCAACTTATTGTCCCTTTGTAATACCCCTAATGGACTGTGGCTTTGTCTAAATCATTTAAATGAGCACTTCTGAGCAACGTCTGTGTAAATACAACCCTTAGGAATTCTGCAGCGAGGTAAACCTCAAACGGGCCCATCATATCAGACAAATGAAAACATCTTTGTTGTCTGAAGAGAAAATTTCAGCAGCTGCAGCTCTTCTGACTGATCCTACCTTAAATAGGTTTGTTCTACATTATAAATATGGATAGCATTAACGTTTACTACAAAAAGCCCGACAATGAAAGTAGGCTGGCAAGTAAAATGATTTTCTTTTGTCATGCATTTCCCATTTTTCTCATTTTTACAGGATGACTTGTCACCCTCCACCTGTCACCGTCACAAACCGAGCCTGCTGTGAAAAACAATCTGGACAGATTATTTTCAAGGCTTTTCATGTTTTATGAAGCTGATACGACAGCGTTACCCAGATTTCACGGCAGAAACTGCACAAAGTGCAGCAGGAGAAAAGTGATTCATGCCCTTTGATGGAGCGCCGAGTGTTTATCCAAGCAGACTATTTGGACATGATCACACAAATGGTTTTATTTCTCCTGTAATTACTGGCTGTAGAAAATTAGGCATGCTCACTGTGAGAACAGGTGGGCCACATGGAAGCCATGGAAGAGATTAAAACTCAGTTTCATTCTGTAAAAAAAAAAAAAGTGAAACAAATACAAAATTAGACAAGCACTAACTGTCATTGTACTTCTGTGTCAGCCAAAAAATAAAAGTCCACCATGTTTATGGTGTGAAAAACAGGATTTAGTCCTGGAAACATCTGCACGAAAGCTGCAGCTAATGAGACGGCAGCAATGTGGTCTTCTGACTGAGGGGCAAAAAAGGCTCCATTAAATAAACCACAAGCTCTTACCACTAATTATGTCTGTAATTATCCAGTAGACACCTCATTTAAATCATAAAACACATTTGATTTATTCTACCAGCATAAAACAAATTTTATTGGAGCTGAATATTTATACCAAATCAACAATTCTTCAGAAGGAATACAATTACAAATGAGAAGGAACCTAATTATTACGATTACTCATAGAATGTACATTTGCAGAGCAGGCATGTCCAAAGGGCGACCCGGGGGCCATTTACGGCCATCGGTGTGATTTCTTGCAGGCCCCACTTTCATTTCTAGAATGATGAATTTTGTCTCTAAAGTAGGCTGTTTCTGTTGGTCGACACTTTTGAAAGAACGGATAAAGCTCGAAACGCGCAGATTCTTCCTGATATAAGAGGTGAGTCTCCTTATTGTTTTGGTATTTTTGGTAGTTTTGGTAGTTTTGGTTGTTTTGGCGTTGACATCATCCTAGCATGCAACATTCTGTGACTCTTAAAAAACAGTAAAAACGCTGAAAAACGCTCGCAGTGAAGGGCTTTTCTGATCAGGACAAAGCTGGCAGTGAATGAGTTAAAGAACTCTCCCGTAACACCAACCTGCTCCACAAAACTTTCTAGTGAAGTTTTTGGTCAGCAGAGGACTGCAGAGTGGTGTCAAGTATGAAACAGGTCACGTTTCTAACTCAGTAATCACTGAGATCACTGTTAAAGCTCTAGTTTAAAGTTTAAAATATATCCCTATTGTTACATTAACATTTGAACTAAAATGTCTATTTTTTACCTATTTGAAGAGATTTTTTTAGACCATGTAATTTTAGCATTTTTACGTTAAAAAATGCACATTTTTGTGGCCCAAAAGGACTTTTGACTTGAAGATTTTGCTTTTGTCTTAAAAGGTTTGGACACCCTTCCTTATAGACATGCAGAACTAATAATCCCACAAAATGCACAGCTCTGCTTTGTAAAATATTTTGGAAATAGATCTTTGACTAACATCAGTTTTCCCAGAACTCATGATCCTCCTACCACAATAATCATGAAAAATGAAGTTGATGACCGCAGTAATGTTTATAAAGAACATTGAACAGTTATAGCATGCTTGAGATTGGAGGTGTTTAAAGACAGCATAAATCCACTTTGTTAGTTAAAGTTAAAGCCCCATTAGTCGTCATCACACGCTGATAAAATTACATCTCTGCTTTTGACCATCCCTGCTGAGAGCAGTGCACTGCAGCTGTGGCTGCGCTCTGGGACTATTTGGTGGTTTGACCCACCAATCCAAGCACTTAAAGCTGAGTGTCAAGCAGGGAGGCATTGGGTCCCATTTTTAGGTCTTTTTTAGGACTGTGGATTTGAACTCGCTATCTCCCAGTCTCAGGGTAGACACATCACTAGGTCACTGAGAAGGTGTACTTGGCTACACTATGACTAGCTGTTAGCCTATCAATCTAGTCAGGACTGATCCTTGTTTCTTCAAACAGGTTGTTCAGAAAGTTGCAGGCAAATAATGTTACAAATTAAATGCTTCCTCTAATCCTTCAAATGTTAATTCACATCTTTTGGGGGGTTTGTGATAAAGTTATAAACAATTCATTTTTCACCTGGTTGTGGGTAGCTCCGTGAATGACCTCAGTCTGAAAACACAGAGATTGGTTCTGATAGGTTCAGAATCCCTGTCAAAGTTTAAAATAAAATTTACAAGCCTTCACATGAGCTACATTTTCTAAATTACAGTTTTTTCAGCATGGCAGAAATCTTCAAATCTATCTATGTTGATAACATTTCCACAGAAACTCATTTCAAAGGCCTAAAGAGTCTCCAGATTGTGGCTCAGCAAAGTGTATGGTTCTGAATTTGCTTTGAGAATGTACTTTTATTACATGTTTGTTAATAAAAGCCCAATACGGGGTGTCCAAACCAAAGTTAAAAGTCCTAGAGGGCCACAAAAATGTGTTATTTTTTTATGCAAAAATTATTTTACGGTACTTTAATTTACATTCACTGATCACTTTATTGGGTGCACCTGTCCAACTGCTCGTTAACGCAAATTACAAATCAGCCAATCACATGGTGGCAACTTTATGCATTTAGGCATGTTGACATGGTCAAGACGATCCGCTCAATTTGAAACCGAGCTTCAGAATGGTGATTTAAGCGACTTGGAACATGGCATGGTTGTTGGTGCCAGACAGACTGGTCTGACTATTTCAAACGCTGCTGATCTTCTGGGATTGTCACGCACAACCATCTCTAGGGTTTACAGAAAATGGTCTGAAAATGGGAAAACATCCAGTGAGCGGCAGTCCAGAGGTCAGAGGAGAGTGGCCAGACTGGTTTGAGCTGAAAGAAAGGCAACAGCTCAAATAACCACTCGTTACAACCAATATGCGGAAAAGCATCTCTGAACGCACAGCACGTCGACCCTTGAGGCAGAGGGGCTACAGCAGCAGAAGATCACACTGGGTGCCACTCCTGTCAGCTAAGAACAGGAAACTGAGGCTATAGTTTGCACAGGCTCACCAAAATTGGACAATATAGGTTGGAAATATGTTGCCTGGTCCGACGAGTCTCAATTTCTGCTGCAGCATTCTTGTTAATATAAATAAGCTCGTGAAAATGCCCATACCACTTTTTAGCTTCAGTCTAAATGAATGGCCTGTATTTTTGATATAGCATGTTCTAGAGTGCTGGAACCCCCCAAGGCACTTTACAACACAATCAGTCATTCACCCATTGACACACACATTCACACCCTGATGGTGATGAGCTACTATCAAGGATGCAAAACGTTTTCATTATCCTAAACATTCACCATCTTATAAGAGCGTGCAACAATGAGCCCCAGTGGTTGTGTAGTTTCAGATCAAGCTTGCAGCCAGGCCCACTTTATGTTAGAAACACATGTCCTACTGTCAGAAATCTCAACCCAATAAACCAGGTCATGCAGAAAATAGACAAAGGAAGCATGCACATTTTTCTTCTCCAACATAAACAATAGAGGCTGAGGCGCTCAGCCAGCAGACCGGACCTTAAAGCCTGGCTCGACCCTGACAGGGAAGGATGAGATGCTGACCCCTGAAGAGTCTTGGAGGACCCTCAGCTTCCTGCCACACGGGAGAACACCTCCCTGCACCAACCCCGGAGGACGACTGGCCTCACGGACTGGAAGGGAGCCAGGAAGGGAAGGAGGAGGGTGGTCAAGATAGTGGTTCCTGGCTGGAGTATCCTGTCTTTCAGAGGCATTGGCCTGCTTTTACGGCCTTGTGCATGAGTCCTGCCATACAGGTGTAAACAGTAAAAAATAGATATTTTAGTATAAAATCAGTACTTTGTAACAAGCACCTGAAATGACTAATCAGAGGGCATGCCTCTCCTCATGCCTCTCCCTGTAGATGGCTGACCCTTTCAAAAGCGTTTATACAGCAGAATCATCGTTAGTGGAAACACGTCGTTTCCGACAGAGCGGAAGAGCCCAAGCTTTGGGTGTCTCCGGAGCTTAGGCTGGAGAAGATCATCCTCTTCAATGGACACAGAGACTCCCTTCATTCTCTCCTCTATCCTCTCTTTTGTGCATCTTTCCCTCCCTCGAGCCTAAATGGGGGCCCTGTCATCTGAAACAAGTCTGAACTAGTGTAGAGGTTCAGCTGCGTCAAATCCAGCTTCACAGGTAATGTGCATCAGCACGACGAAAAAATGTACACCAGAGCAACACCCAGAGACGCCGTTTATCTGGTTTTCATTTATTAAATTAATAAATGATGTTTAACTGAATCACTTTCAACGTGGGATGAGTTCTTCTGTATTTAAGGACCACGTATTTAGGGTAGCATCACCGTACAGATGTCTGAACTGCTTGTGTTTCAGGGGTGTAAATCTGTTTGCACAAACACACTTGTGTTTGCACAGTTGCATTGTAGAGACTTGACTTCTCTTGAGGACGTAGAGTCTATTTTCTTTCTGTCAATCATCAAACTGCAAATGAAAATAAAGTAAGACAAGAGCTTTTGGTGGACGTGGTTGAGGTTCTGTTAAAACATGCTTTAGGTCATATGCTTTAAAAAAACACCTTTGCATTATCAACTTACAAAAGAATCCCATTGCATCCCTCGGGTCTCAAATTTAGCACAGTCACATGCAAAAGATTAGATCAATCTATAAATATTCAAAGAAATACAATGGGACCTGCTGTGCAAACGGTTTGACATTTACATACCAGGGTTTATATGTTCTGTGACTGCGGGTTATAAAGGTATTCTGCTTTTTTTTTTTTTTTACAATAAAGAATTTCAAAGACCAAGTTCACTGAGAAACCATTTATACTTGTTATTTTTTTAAATATGATCGATCACTTTGAGTTTCACACGTGAACACAGTCTTTTACTTTTTTCTCCTGCATTAGCCGCCAGTAGCAAATAGACAGGGAACTGCTCTGGTTAGAAAAGCCGGTCAATTCTATGTTTCATTGAAAATCTTGGCTTGCGACGGGGAAGGCTGTTGTTGATTTAACCTCCAGGAGAGAGCAGAGCACATGTCAGCTAGTAGAAGCTAACTGTTAGCATTAGCGACTCCACAACATGGCAGAACTCCTTCAAGCGTGTTATTTGTGGAGATAAAGCAATAACATTTCAGAGCAAATGGAGTCAGTGGTAGAGTTGTGTTGCTGTTATCCAATAGAGAAGAGTTGTCTGAATATCAGGAAATAAGAAAATACTCTAAACCTCCAAAACTTGCTGTCTGCTGCTCACATCTACTATGACTATATTCTAGTTCCTGAAACAGGAGCACAAAAGTGTCCCTTTTCACCACAGAAATAGACTCCCAAAGCATTCAATACTACTAGAGACCATTTTAGATGTATTCCAAAATAATAAAGAAAAAAGAAAAAAGTGACCTCTGTTTTTAAGTTTTGCTTATGTGACTTTTCTTATTGATCCAAAATTAGGCTAATTCTATGAAGTTGCTTCTTATGCACCTGAATTTGATGGGGCCTTCAGCCTCTGTCTCTGTTCTTCGTTTATTATGTTATGATGTGGAAATATCATGTGATGTTTTGTAACACAAGTCCCCAGAACAAAAAGACCAGCACAGCAAATCAAAAGTTTTCATTAAAGAGCAAGTCACCCCCAAATAAACTTTTTTTTGCTGATAAACTAAAAAAAAAAGTATAATTATTGGCTAAGAGGTACCCTAGAACGTTAGCTGGTACCATATGATGTCACAATGTCATTGTGAGCCTGTGTGTATTTGTTAGTGGCTACACACGCACACAGGCTCACGACAGCATTGTGACATCATAATGTACCAGTTTACATCATCGCATACCTCTTAGCCAATAGCGGTGGCAGATTTAAATTCAAATACAGTGCAGAGTTTTTACCTGACAATGGCACAACACTGCCAGTTTTAGCAGAATATTTAAATTTTGACTAAGATGCGCTGAAGTGCCAAAATAGTGACTACACGTGTCTGCAGCACGATTAGACACGCATTTACTATATAGTTTATCAGAAAAAAAAGTTGAATTTGGGGGTGACTTGCTCTTCAAGGCCTCTTCAAGGCAGACCTGCTCAAATTCTTCTATTGTTCCAAATCGTGTGCAAAATCTTGTATTATGAACAAAATAAACCTAGAATATCTTTATTTTTATAAACATATCAGTAATTATTTTATCTAATTTCTCAAAGCTCCTGGTAGATGCTTTTAAAGAATCTGTGGCTGCTTATGGTTGAAGCAGGATATTAAAAGTCGGAAAGTGTGTAAATTATTTAAAACTCCATCACTTGTACCAACTTTCTTGTTATTTAAGATCTAATCCAAAATGTTATCTAAAGTCTAGTTTTCAGATCCTCCTTGGGATTTTAAATGTGTGTTCTGGTGTCATTGAGAGAATAAGAAAAAAAAAGATCTCCCTGTTATTTTAAATAAAGGTCCTTTGTTCAGTTGTCAAGGATACAGTAAGACCCCATCGGTCACTACAGCAGCTGTTACAGTTGTTTCAGTAGATTTAGTCATAACATCATCAGAATGAGGTCATGGACATTAAATAAAGCATAAACAGTGAACGGAATCATGCAACTTATTTCTATCAAAGTGTCTTTGTACTAAATGAAGGGAAGAGTTTTGGGGGTTGTTTTTCAGCAACTTTTGTTATGTTTCATACATACAGAGATACACAGGTGACCCTTTTAAACTATGTTTCCTGAACAGGTGCTATGAAAATGTTCTTTTTTTTAAACGGAAATATGTTTTTTTAGGTTTAATGTGGAATTTGTGTCCTAAAATATAATATAATATGGGGCATCTAAAAAGCAAATACGATTAACCACTCAAAAAACTTTTTTAAAGCAGAAATACAAATCTGAAGAAAACACCTGCATCTAATTGAAATGGGAGGCTACAGTAGATTTTTGCTGCAATCGTTAGAATAGGAGTTTGTGACCATGTTAACTTTTAGGCCGAACAATAAATTATTATTTTTTTGCTTGACAATAAACTAAAAACTACAGGCAACAGCTACATCTTGTGGTTTTGTCGGAACCGTTCTGTCTCCGGAACGTTTGTGTAGGAACCTTTCCGAAACCGAGAGTCGGAGCTATTAAACAGACGGAGCAACGGCCGAGGCCCGACGTAAATTTCTAGATACATATTCTGTTTGTTTGGACACAACATGACTTCCCACCGACATGCCCGGGTGTGGAGGTACGTGGAGGAAGGGAGCTGTTTGAAACTGAAGTCGTATCTGCGGAAGCACCCGGACCTGGACGTGAACTTCTCCCGGGGAAAGAGGCAGAGGAGCCCGCTGCAGTTAGCCTGCTCACTAGAAGACGACGCTATCCTGCGGCTGCTGCTCAAACACGGAGCCGATGTTCTCCAGAGGGATCGGAGAGGAGACACGGCGCTTCATGTCGCTGCCAACAGGGCCCTGAAACACGGGAAAACAGGTGAGAGAGACAAAAGGGGGTTCGATTTATAAAGGTCACGGTGTGTTTCATGTTGGTTTTAACTTCTTTGTTTTTATTCCTAGTTTATGATGACTTGGTCATACCTCTCAAAAAGTCATGTCCCGAAGCTTTAAACGCTCAGAACCGAGCAGGAGTCACACCTCAAGACCTGCTGAAATGGATGAAACATTCGGAGGTAAACAACGACTTAATAAAACTAATTATATCCAGTCCAAAACTCATTTTCATGGGGAAAAGACGTATTTAAACCTAAAACACTCAACAAAATATGTTTCCTTTATGCATCTTCTGTTTGTATCCCATTTATTTATAGGAACGCAGTTATTAAAATTCATGAAGAGGCAGCTGTAAAATAGGACCCCAACAGGAAAAATTCCCCCACAACAAGATAACACTTAATACTGAGAATAAAATATATACAGTGAATATAAGGATTAAAGCAAGAGAAATATAGTTTAAAAAATGCGGGGTTTTTTTTTACAGAAAAGAAACCTGGACATTGTCTAAAGAGCAAGTCACCCCCAAATCAACTTTTTTTCTGATAAACTAGATAAATGCATGTCTACTTGCTCTTTAAATCACCCGTGGTTCTGGAAACCCGAACGACTCTTTTGGAACTTCCACAATGGCTTTTCATAACTTCGGCTAGAAACAGTAAAACTCTGACTGTTGTTTTGAAATATAAATGTAATGAAATATACAGGTTTATGCAGTTTTTTTTTTTTTTTGTTTTTCTTTTCATAATGGTATTAAACTTTCACAACAGGCAAATACAAAATTACCTGCAATAGTTATAATCTATCATTTTCCGCAATTATCAACATCCCACTGTAAAATAAAATGGATGGAAACTTGTCCATATAAAGTTTCAGTTCTCTTGAGTAGATTTTGGTTTTCCTGCACCTTGATGTTTCCATGTGTTCTGGTATCTTTCTCAGATTTCAGACAACACGGGCCGCAGACCGGAGGCTGACACTGAGAAGGAGTGGCTGGAGAAGCTGTTTGGGGAATGCGAGGATGAATTTTCTGAAACCTTCGGGGTATATGATGGTAAAATCAGAATCGTTATTGCAATAGTAAAGTTTGACTGATGCTTTCTATTTTTATTCCTAATGTTGTTGCATTTTTTCCCCCACACAGCTGATGATTATCTACCTGTTGATGAAGAAGACGGAGACTTTGGGGACTGGGCCGATCGCATCAGAAGGGAATATTTTGACAAAAAACACTCTGAAGCTCAAAGACTGGCAAGTTCATCTTCTAAGGGGAAAAAAGAGAAAAAGAAGGAACAAGCAGAGGAAAGCCACAAGAAGCTGCATGAAAGGCTGCAGCGGGAGCATGAGGAGTATTTGGCTCGAGCTGCACGTAAAGAGGAAGAGACTCGGCTGGGAAAGAAGCGTCGATATGACGAAAAGTGTGCTGCTACATTTAATGGTTCCTCCACATCAGACAGCACAAAGCTGCGCTACAGCGACATCCCCTGGCCGTCTCCAAGAGGCACGGTCCATGAGATGGTGGATGTGATGCTGCATGGCGTGAACCGGAAAGATGTGGCGGCGTTACGTAAAGCGATCCGGAAACAGCAAACGCTGTGGCATCCGGATAAATTCGCTCAGCGATGCGAAGCTCGATTAGAGGAGAATGAAAAACGGAAGATTCTGGATACAGTAACAGCTCTGTCACAGGAACTCAACAGACTGGCTCAGAGTTTCAGGACTTAAAAATCACTCAATGTTCTTCATTGGGCATGTGGACATATGTTTATCATATTTATTGACAGCCTAGATTTCTGTTTTCATTTGAATTTTAGACAGCTGTAGTTTCCTTTACAAGGAGGCTCGTGCTAAATAAATTAAGAAAAGCTGCTTCAAATGCATAAATGCAATAAATTATCAATTGGAACAATTCTTGAGATCTGATATCTGCATCATATTTTTGTTTTTGTCCTTCCCTCCCCTTTTTTGTTACCCTTAAAAATAGTCACCTATAGGTAGTGTGTGTAAAGATTTATTTAAGGAAATAAATTTCACTTTACTGGAATTGATTTACAAATTTGGATCTAACTGTAGTGAGTTATTTTTATCAAGCACCCACTGGAAACTTGGCACTTTTTCTTTGTGAATTTATAAAGCAGACAAGACATGAAATGTCTTCAAAAATAAATTAAACTTGGTTTGAAGAGAAAGAAGTCCAGCTGCCATGTTTTAATCCATCTGGGATTACTACAGATTAACCTTTACTAGTATTCGGTCTGGTTGACCTTTTCTTGGAGTTAATATTATGTGGTCAATAATTTATAGCTGTTCATCTGATTGCCTTATTTATTAAAGTATTTTCTAAATCTTGAAAGAAATTGCTATCATCAGAAAATATTTTTGCTACATGTAGTGCATGTTTATCTTATTACTATTCAAGAATTGCAACCATTTAAAAAAACAAGTTCTACTGGAATATAAATTAAAACACTATAAACTGGAGAAAAAACCCAACTGTCTGCCAGTTTTCACCAATGGAACGGTTCAACACGGGTTGCCAAGTCTTTAGCCAAATTCCCCTTTTGAAAACTCATTGGTTCATAATTTTAAACAAAGCAAAGAAATATTAAAACGACTTGTCAGCACCCCAGAATTTTTCCTGTTGAAAACGGGCTTGACTAAATTTTTGATCTGTTACAAATTTAGTACAAGTGGAATTTTTGCTAATCGTTTTTTATTGTCTACTTTATTCATTTGAGTTTGATTTGTTTTACCACCTCTACGTTTTGTTCGGATTCATCACAGGCTCAAATGAAAACACTGGATCACTTAAATACTGATAAAGGGTGAGTTCATGTCAAATAAAGCAAATTTCTGAAAAGGTTTGTTCTTAATAATTTATAGTCAGATTGAATGTATATTTATCTACAAGCTAACGCCTCTGCGCTCTTAAATCAAGAAAAGTGTTTGTTTTTTCTAAGGATGGGGCATTATCTGGCAACCAGGGGACACAATCTGTGTCAATTGCGACTAAAGGCCGTAGTAGCCTAAATCTGACTGGGGCTTTATTTTAACACGCGACCCAGACGTAGCTTAACGTAACGGGTTGATCATTCGTTTTTCTGTTAGCTTGTTGCTCGTTTCTTGCCGGTTATGCTAGCATTAGATGTAGCGCTAATGACAGGTGTATCAAGGTAAAAATAAATAAAGAGAGAAGAAACGGGACGGCGCCTTTCTCATTGGTCGTAAAATAAGATGCTTTAGAGACGCTTCTGTCTTTGTTAGGAATTAGCTTTTTCCTCGCAGACACTCGGGTGGCTTCGAGGGGGAGCGAACCGGACCGTAAACATGAAGATAATTCTGAGAACCGTCATTATTTATAGACAGTAATTAACCCACGGGGCAAGTTTATTGGGGATTTCTCTTTTGTCGTTTTCGTTGGGGTTTGTCATGTGTTTTAGTTTGTAGTAGACAGCACAGAGACCGCGACATCAGGAGGCGATAGAGATTATCAGCGGAGGAGAGCTGGGTGCAGATAAAGATGGTGTTCCGGAGTGAGGAGATGTGCTTGGTGCAGCTGTTCCTGCAGTCCGGCTCGGAGTATGACTGCATCAGTGAGCTCGGGGAGCTGGGGCTGGTCGAGTTCCGAGATGTAAGTAGAGATACACACACACAATGATGCAGGCAGATATTAAAATAAATAACTATCACCATTTAAAAAGTATTCAATTATCTATCTATCTATCTATCTATCTATCTATCTATCTATCTATCTATCTATCTATCTATCTATCTATCTATCAATCACACTTCTGCTTGTAGGACAAAAGTAGTGCAATAAAGACCTTTTATCCCATCATGAGTATAAGAGTAACTTTCAGATATGAGAACTTCTCAGAGAGGTTGTTCATTCTGGCTGCATGTGTGTATTTACTGCAGCCACCTGACTTGTGATGCTCCTCTGGTTTCAGCTCAACCCCAGTGTCAGCTCATTCCAGCGGCGCTTCGCCAGCGAAATCAAGAGATGCGACGAGATGGAGAGGATTCTGGGTAAAGAGCAGCATCTCGCCCACCTGGGATGAGGGTGCCGCCTTAGCATCTCACACATGTCACAGTTATCTGTTTAGTAAGCAGTGTTTTTGATTCCTGTTTCTTGTGGACAGGCTACCTTCTCAGAGAGATCCAAAAGGCTAAAATAGCCATTCCAGGAGAGGATGATGGTCCACTCGCTCCTCCACCCAGACAAGTGCTGGAGATCATGGTAAATGCTCAGAAAAACACATTTCATTTGCTTGTTTTGCTGTATTTAAAGAGCAAATTGCAGGTTAAATTTTTTCTATTTCATATAAAATGCTGTCCAAAAATACTATTTTAAAAGCTTATTGTGGATATTTGGTTTTAAAATGCATAACAGCAGAGTTTTTCTAGTAGAACGTGGCCTTTCTCAGCAAAGCTTTTTTCTAAATGTGAACTCTGACGTAACCAGAAGCTCGCTGCCTCAGCTCAGTGTGGAGAGTGGCTAGTTTTAGGGTAGAGAGGTCATGTGATCCAGTCAATGTGTGTGTTTACTAGTGTTGGACTGTGTTCATGTTGATAAACTATAGTGTGTGAAGGCTGTACCAACTCCAGCCTGTCTGGACATCGAGTCCACGGGTTTCCAGGCAAGAGAAACAACGCCTCTATCTCCGTGTCTGAGGGCGTTTTGTGCAGCTGAAAAGACGGACTTCTGTAGCCCACATCTGTCGGTACCGGGTCAGGGAGGTCTGCGCTGGGCTCCAGAGACCTGTGGCAGGGTTTAAAAAATTTAATGCGGATTTCTGGAACTCCGATCACCGTCAGAACTAGGCCACAACCGACCACCAGAAGAGACATGCAGCTCAGCTGGTTTCCGGGTCAGAACTGGATCAGAACCACCGTCTGGACTACCAGGAGAGGATGCGCGGCTTATAAAAATACCAGCTCGACTGTCTCACTCGTGTTTGGGTCCAATTCAGCTCACAGAAGCCCGCATGAGCTCCAGAACCAGATCACAGGCATCTCTCTCTCTCTCAGCTCAGCGGACCAGCCGAGCAAGCTTTCTGGGTCGGAACCAGATCAGAACCACCGTGGACCTTTGGGGAAGGATCGTGTGCAGCTTTTAAAAATATCAGCTCAACTGGCTTGCTGATGTCTGGGTGGGATCCAGCTCACAGAAGCCCACATGAGCTCCAGAACCCGATGACGGGCGTCTCTCTCCCTAAGCTAAACTACGATACATGAACGGATATTGGCGAGTATGAGACCGCTGACAGGCGCTCATTAGTATTAATATTATATTAACTGACTGATACTATTTTAATTGTCTGGTACACGATAGTAATCTGTACAATATTGTGATGTTCGCACACGAGTTTAAGCTAACATGGTTAACTCACCAGACACCTGCTTCTCCTCCTTAATCTCTCTACTTTGGCCGATGGTTTCTCCCTCTGGTTTGTTTCTGCTCTCTGGGGCGAGCAGCAAACTCATAACTTTATAGTTTTGGTCCATCATGAGTATAACTGTAAACATTTAAAGTTTCCTCCGTGTCAGAGCCGGCATTATTTAAGCTAACAGGACTCCCTCAGATGAATGACGTCACTTGGTTTGGCCAAAAAAAAACTTTCTCACAAAAATGACTCTAAAAGCCTAAATAATTTATGTTTGTGTAAAAAAATTGTTTAAACCGAGTTTCTATTATGTTTCTCTAAACATTGGCTCATGGGAGTCTCTAACCTGGAATCTGCTCTTTAACGCCTGTCCTATTCTTTCCTAACAAACAGCTATTCTTGTTTTAAGATTACGAAATATCAGCAAACTGAGGATTTACTTTATTTATTTTCCTTCTGCTGAAATTCAACCAAACGTTTATATTGTTGGTCAATTTTACAATGTTTGTTTTTAATTCCCCAGCATCAAACAGGGTCAATGTCTGAACTATTCACTGTTTCACCACAGCAGCAGAGAATAAACCCACTCTGAAACATAAATATTGGAAGAAAAACACCAGAATCACTATTATAGATAAACAATTTTTCATTGGAAGAGCTTTCGAACACTGGTTTGGATTTAAATCTAAAAATTTCCAGATTTTGACTTAAAGTTCTCTCAAGTTGTGAAATACCTTTTGAGTGTAAACAAACCACCTATATTAGAGGACGACCGATCTAGGTTTTCCTTTACCAGTACCGATATCTAGACGTTTTCCTCCTCATTTTCATGCTGAAATGTTACTGATAACATCAGTTGATGCATAAACTTTCTGAAGCTGAATCAGTTCTTGAACTCTAAATGTAACCAACTTTTAAACCTTAACTTTGTGCGCTGCTCAGTGTTTAAGTCAGACACCTAAATAAAGTTAATTTAGAGTATTTATTATGCAGATGTTCTAAGTGAACGTAAAATATATATTTAGATAAAATTCTGCAACAGCACTGAGCTGCCCAAGCATGTACCTGACTTTAAAGAGCAAGTCACCCCCCTACATGAAACTTACTCCACTCCCACTTCATGTTTGAAAAATGCAACAAATGCTGTTGCCTGGCAGACCAAGAGGGAAGAGCCGCTAACAATCACACACACACACACAGGCTCACAACAGCATTGTGACATCATAATGTACCAGCTAACGTCATTGTGTACCTCTTAGCCAATAGCGATGGCAGATTTAAATTCAAATGTAGTTCAGAGTTTTTACCTGACAACAGCACAACACTGACAGTTTTAGGCAGAATATTAAAATTTTAACAAAGATTCACTAAGGTGCCACATTATTGACTACACGTGTCTACAGCCCGATTAGACACTCATCTAGATAATTTATCGACAAAAAAAGGTTGATTTTGGGGTGAGAGCAAGTCACCCCCTTTCAGATTCTTACTCAACTCCCACTTCCTGTTTGAAAGATGCAACAAATGCTGTTGCCTAGCAGACCGAGAGGGTGGAGCTGCTAACAAATGCACACACACACACACACACACACACACACACACACACACAGACTCACAACAACATTTTGACATCATAATGTACCAGCTAACGTTCTAGGGTACCTCTTAGCCAATAGCGATGGCAGATTTAAATTCAATTGCAGTGCAGAGTTTTTACTTGACATCGGTGCAACACTGACCGTTTTAGGCAGAAAAGTAAAATTTGAACTAAAATGCTACACGTTTCTGCAGCACAATTGGGGGTGACTTGCTCTTTGAATCAGCTTTACTAAGGACAAATTTTGGCCAATGTATAAACAAAGGTAAACATCGGTATACCCCAATTGATAAACCGTTTAATGAAAAAGCTTTTAAATACTGGTTTGGGTTTAAATCTGAAGTTTTTCAGATTTTGACTTGAAATTTTCTCTAATTGTGAATTACCTTTACAATGTAAACAGACACCTTCTTTTGTAGGCAGCGCACAGATGAGACTGTAGAGAATGTAATATTCTGAGTTATTACTGGGATCATTTGATTACAAATTTCAAACCTTGATTGTTTTTCTTATTTATTTTATATTATTAGCAGGGAATCCCCAACGTGTGCATGGCTGAACAGCTTGGGAGTATTTTATTTATTTTTCTGAAGTCCAAACGTGATTAAAACCTAACATTAAATAAATATCAGCCTGTTCCATCTGGCTGATGGTAATCAACAATCCAAATATAATTTATTCTGTTATAAAGGAGCCAAGTTCCTTTTTTCAGGATTTTGCTTATTCCTTTCAAATCGTTGCTTTATTGTCTTCACATTTAGAGTCTGAACTGTTACTTCAGACCACCAGTTTACTCCAGTTGTTGTGTTGTAGCTCCATAATTCAGAATGAAGCTGGTGTTGTCTCTGGTGTCCAGGAGCAGCTTCAGAGGCTGGAGATGGAGCTCGGTGAAGTGGCCAAGAACAAGGAGAAGCTCCAGCGGAACCTCCGGGAGCTGACCGAATACACTCACATGCTGAAGATCACACGCACCTTCATACACAGCCGCTCCAGAGTGAGTATCGTTCCATTTTACCTGCTCGTCTCATTCCATCAGATATAATTTTCGCTAGGGATGCACAATATATCGGCATCAATATCGGTCCGATAAATAAAACTGGACCAATATTAACAACTGATACTTTTTCCATCTTGTCTACATTTGTTTATCTATTTCAGAGGGTGAGGGGGGTGGTGTGTGTTTGTTTAGCCATGTGACAATTATTGTAATCATATCAGAAGCCTAAATGTGTGTGTTGTGTGTACATAACAATGTAAATTCAGCTTTAAAAGTTTTCATTCCATACAAAATCTGCTGATTTTAGAAGCATTAATGTCTGTATCGGCCATAACAGTGATATTAATATCAGATATTGGTATCGGCCCAAAAATTTTATATCTGTGCATCACTGATCCCCACACCTTCAGGTTGATTTTCTTTTGTTTGTTACGTACTTGGACTGGGACTAGCACAGTCCTAATGTAAAAGGTTAACATGTTCCTTTTTCTAACTAGCATGAGGCTCTTGGTCCTCAGTATGAAGAGTTCCCCACCGTGGAGACTGGCTCGGTGACGGGATGCACCGGGATGCAGAGACTCGGAGCGAAGCTGGGGTGAGCTGCAGTATCAGTCACAAGATTGGAAGCCATCTTCTGGTCAGAAAACTCACCCTAATCAAGTTTCTCCTCTCCTGGGTGCAGCTTTATTTCTGGGCTCATCCAGCGGGTGAAGGTGGAGGCCTTTGAGCGGATGCTGTGGCGAGTGTGTAAAGGTTACACCATCCTCAGCTACACAGAAGTGGACGAAAGCCTGGCCGACCTCGACACCGTGAGCTGAATTGTTCAAAGGCTGTTTTGTGACTTTTTATTGCTGCTTTGAGTTCTTTAGTGACGTGTTCCTGAACTGCGTGATTTCAGGGGGAAATAGGCAAAAGTGTTGTGTTTCTCATCTCTTTCTGGGGAGATCAGATCAGACAGAAAGTTCAGAAAATCTGCGACTGGTGAGAGCGATTCTGTTTCTTGACTTTAACCTGTTATTTTCTCGCACACTTTCCTTTGTTACCGGCTTTTGTCTTTTCCAGTTACCACTGCCACTTGTATCCGCACCCTGAGAATGACGATGAGCGAGCAGATGTGTTGGACAGTTTAAGAATACGGATCCAAGACCTCAACAATGTAGGACAGGATGCCTCTGAAGCCCACAGCATGCTCTCATGATCTCAGTAACTCTTGTCTTCTGCAGGTGCTTCATCGCACCGAGGACTACCTGAGGCAAGTCCTGCAGAAAGCTGCTGAGTCAGCATACTCCTGGGTTGTGCAGGTGAAGAAGATGAAGGCTATCTATCACATCCTCAATCTGTGCAGCTTCGATGTGACCAACAAGTGTCTGATCGCAGAGGTGTGGTGTCCCGTCAGTGACTTAACAAACCTAAGAGGGGCGCTGGAGGAAGGTTCGGTGAGTACGATGTGACAAGGGTTAAATCTGTTTGTTTTTTATTTTAACAACCTGATGAACTTTAAGGTGGGGATACAAGATTATTGTTCATAGTAACTCAAATACTGAAGTTATTTGAAGTGGGCACGCCC